TAATGGTGAATACTAGCAGTTTGAATTGCACCTGGAAAGCAACTAGAAGCCAAACAGCATCAATGTAACATGGGAAAAACATGAAATGCCCTGAACAGTACACCACCACATGCAGGTTCAATTGTAAGTTCCAAGTAGTCTTCAAAGACAACCCTAAATAGAGGACATATCAGTAATCCAATCAAGAGATAATTAAGGTGTGAGTAATAGCTAGTAATGCTACTCAGTCGAGAAAAAGGCACAATTTATGCACAAGTTGAATCTGGAAAAAGCTGCCCCCCCAGCCATGATTGCCATATGCTACTTGAGCAGGAACCATGATTCCAAGAAGACCCTCAAATTGCCCTCCACCTTTCTATGAAGAAGTGCTAACCTATAGAAAATCGAGGATGACAATTCACTGGATCCGGGTTGGGTGGGTGGCAAGGATGCAAAGCCACTGCATTCCAGAGTTGAGTCGAAGCTGGTTCTTTCCACCCAGACCTTCAGTCTCCAGGTACTGGATAAACACCTGAATGCCATCATCTGCCTGGCATGCCTGCCTGAGATGTATAATTGACTATTATCCACATACTGATGGTACTGCACTTCATGCTGTTGAATGACTTATTCAGAGGCCTCATGTAGATGATAAATAGGAAAGGGAAGAGGCCAGAGCCCTGAGGCATCCCACATATAAGAAGCATATCACCACCAACTCTATTACTAGCCACAACTGGAACATTGTGTACTATTCTGACCCATATACTTCTCAAGCATCTTGCACAGCTAGGGAAAAATGCAAATAAGAACAACCAAAAGGTCTAGAGCAGGATAGGCAACCTTGGCTCTATTTATGACTCGTGGACTTCAACTCCCAGAATTCCTGAGCCAGCATGGCTCAGCTTGGAAACCTCTCCCTTTCCCCTCAGCATGGCTGGCTCAGGAATTCTGGGAGTTGAGGTCCACGAGTCATAAAAGAGTCAAGGTTATCTACCCGTGGTCTAGAGCAAGTCTGTGAGGAAAGTTTGCAAAATGTAGTGTTTTAGTGTAGGGAAAGAAAAGTAACTAAAGTGATTATGATGTAAATATACAAACTGATACACACAGCAGGAAAATGGGCTACAATACATTCTGTTCTTCTTCTTGAAGCTCTGAGGTTGAATAGCAGAAAATTTAAAACACCTAAAAGCGATATTAGATTGTATGGATCTGGTTAATTTACTATCACAAGATGTAGTAATTAGCAAGTTGGACAAAGGATCAAACACATTTATAGAGAATAAGGCTACTGTGAGTTATTAATCCCTATGGTTGTATATTAGCATTAGGGTCATATCAATATGACCTTGTGCTCATATTGTGCTTATGGGTTTCCCAGATCCTATTCTAAGAACAGAATTATAGAATAGATGGGCTTGACATAATCCAAACCAACTTTCTTATGATATTTTTGGGTCAGTTTGAGCCTTGTCCTAAGGGTTGCTTCAAGGGTTTGAATGACACAGAGGCATGAAAAGTTAAATCTCATTCACAAGTTATTAAACATCATACCAAAGGTGAACTTCAGGGGATGTATTTTGCATATAGTGGAGTTTGGCTCATAAAGAATATTTAAATCTCTATCTCTGAAATTTAGCAGTGGTATATTCTGGTTTGAATGGTAGTTTTTGAGAATGTCTAACCTGTATCTGTTCCTCTTATGCTATGTACCAATATTTCTCAGTTCTCAAAAATATAGAATATAGAACACATGTCCAAAAATAAAGAAGTTGCTGGTTCATAGTTTATACTTTTGACCATTTTTTTCTTACCATAAACTATTTCAAGAGGAAACAGCCAATGAGGTGCATGTTATTCAGCAGGATGCTTCTTCTGGATAAGGGGGTTGTGACAATAATTGGAAAGGGAGAAATTATAGTATTTTAACTCATGTCACTACTCAATATTGCTTTTTCCCATAAGTTGCGAAGAAAATAACTATATGACAATGCACATGCATTGAGAGAAAAACTGCATTGTCAGCAAGTTATTGAAAGAACGGTTTAAAACTAGAGCAGCAGCAAGACTGAGTCTATTGGGAAAGAATTTCAAATCTTGTTCCTGTAAGTCCTTTGGGCCTCTATTCCCAGCTATCCCTCCTATTTGGGTATAGTGGCTAGGTAGTTCCTGCTACCAATAACTCATTTGATATCCTTCCACTAATTCCTGCGTATAAGAGGCAGGGCACCCATAACTTGTTTTACTTTTCTGGCAAATTTAAAAGAATGCAATGAGCAAAAAAATCTATAGCGTCTCCTTCTGACCTTGTATCACTGAGGCAGGTAGCTAGGGAAATCAGCCCCTTTCCTTCTCCCCTTTGGGAGAGAGACTATCTCAGAAGAACTGAATAATAAGTTAGGATAATTTTAATATAAAGGAAAAGAGAGAATGTAAAAATCCATTTTAACTTTATATATTAGATAGTGGAAAAATTAAAAATGCATAACTATTCACGTAACATAAACCATCTCAAAATAACCTTCTATGGAAAAATGTAAGGCTCTAGGCCAGGGGTTCTCAACCTTGGCAACTTTAAGACTTGTGGACTTCAACTCCCAGAATTCCTCAGCCAGCTTTGCTGGCTGAGGAATTCTGGGAGTTGAAGTCCACAAGTCTTAAAGTTGCCAAGGTTGAGAACCCCTGCTCTAGGCAGACCATAAGATAATGCTGGCCTATTCCTATTTAGAGAAATCCCGATTTTAAAAAGTTCAGTGGTGATTGAATAACATTAAGCATAATATTGAGCTCACAGAGAAAAAATTAACGTTAGAGACAAAAATAATAAGGTGAGAGACAATTTGATAAAGGTGCAATTTGGTATAATGATTAAATGCGAGGAGACCGTGAGTTCGAGTTCTGCTTAGGCACAAAGCCAGCTGGTGATTTTAGGCCAGAAAGAAGGTGCTGGCAGGCTACTCTGAAAATGTTGCCAAGAAAATTATATGGACTTGTTCTGCAGTCATTAAGGAATCACAGCATTTGATTTGCTGGAAAGGCTACTTTGACACAAAGTAATCCAGTGAAGTGGTAGAAGACACCCATACACCAAACTTGTCCACCACCTGCCTCTGAAATATCCTTGCAAGCCCTGTCCCTCAGAACTGTTTCTAGGCAATGATGACCAAAAAGACTACTCAGTTCCTGCCACCAGTTCCTGTTGCTAGGATACAAGAGTGGTGGAGCGCATTGCAGTTTCCTCTAAATCTTCCATCTCAGACTTATTCACTGATATTGGACAGGAAGCAGAAGAGATTCTGGTGGGAAAAGTAATGTTTTGGAGAAGGGGGAGCTGTTATACAGAAAAAAGATGTTGGGAGTCCTAGGAAAGCATAAACATGTGAAAGAAACTCTAAACATCTCTATCTGGACTGTGTTAAGACATAAATTGAAGTAAAAAGGGGATTTGACAGGTTTTCAAAAGTCTGTTTATGATATCCTTAACTGTAGAAAAGTCCAAGACTCTGCCAGTTTTTTTTAAACCTGACCTCTTGACATCACCCAAGGATTGGTTTCTTCCTATGATAGTATCTCTTTTATCCTCAAAATGATGTCAACAAGAGCCTCAGTTTCCTTGACAGTAAAGAATTGATTATCCTGTATGTGGGACCAAGCTATTCCATTCTGAAAAGTCTTAATTTACATATTTCTCTTTCTGCCAAAAAGTCTCTGCTTCAAGTACCATGGTTCCAGAGAAACAAGATTTTCTTTATGAAAGATAGAGGAAAATATAAACTATGCCTAACAGGCAGATAACCATACAGTTCTTATGCTAGCAATAACCTGGAAAGTAACTTACTGGTAACTAGAGTTTTGTATTCCAAACTCTGTGACCAAAACAAAAGATGCCATGCTATATATTTTTTTTCTTCAGAGTTAAGAGTCCTGACTTTCTTACATACTAAATTTACATTGAATTTACGGAAGTGGAAGATTAATGTACCCAAGTTCCTCCTCCTTCTCCTCCTCCTCTCCTTTTGGTAAAAAGAACACACGTTCATAAATACTCCTGTTTGCTAATTGCAATAACACATTCCCAACTGCCTCTCCTTTTTATGAAGGGTACTTTCCTCTATCTATAGATCGTGGGATCAGCAAGCAAGCACTTCATTCAACGTGATAAAGCAAACATGCACAACCTGACCCAGAAACCAAGCAACCTTCTTAAAGCAGCTGATCATGATTATTCACTCATTCCAACTAGATATAACTATTGTTCCACTACAAATCTCTGTGAAAATTTACTCTCATACAACTCTAATCTCAGGATATTGCTTCACATACATGATAAAACAAACTATGATCCTCAAAAACTTGTAACAATAACAACATACAATAACATACAACAGCTGCTCTTCTGGAAATATTTAAAATTTTAAATTGTACAAAATGTGATTAATGATACTTTTGGAGATTTATTCTTCACATCTGAATGTATAGACTGAAGCCTGTTCTTTATTGGGTAGGCTCATTGTTGATAAGAATAGTGGAAGTCTTGTGGATCTGGTCCAGTCATGATATACAATATTAATAAATGCATGTTCAATATATCCACTACAGTTAATAGACTAAAAAAGTAGCTCTGATCATATTTAAACTTCTTCTCAAGAAAGGTAAATGATCTAATCCTGAAAATATACATTCCACAGTGCAAAATAATCTCATTTAATCAAACCATATTCTGCTGAAAATGTATTTAAGTCTAATGATTTCTCTTTGATATTATTAATGTACCAGTTTCTTTCTTTATATGGCTCTTCCTTTTTAAAACAAAAAATAACCTCAAATATGACATATCATAAAAATGTACAACTACAGCTACAGTCTTTAATCTAAAGAATCCTGAGGTGGTCAGAGCAGAGTCTTCAGAATTAATAATAATAATAATAATAATAATAATAATAATAATAATAATAATAATAATAATGTTGGAAGCATCCAAGGAATTTGTTAGAAAAAGAGAAGATTAAGGATATCCTTACCAAGTATAATGTTTCCTACCCAAACTAGAAACGATTTCCAGAACCGCTAGATTCTTCAAAGTGTTTTGAAGTATCTTCCAGAATCACAGGGTACTTTGATATCTAGCTGGAGAAAGGGGCAACAGAAATTCCCTTTGATATATCAGATAAGCCTGAAGTAAGCCAGGGCGTGTTCAGTTTCTTTCAAAGTTAAATCCTTTGGGGATTCCCTGTTAAGTAGAATGGAGGGAAAAGAGAAACTGCAAGCTTCCTCTGAGAAATGTTTCTTTTTGCTCATCCCCACCCTCAAGCCAATATGAAAGAAAGAAAAAAAGAGGCCTGGAAGAGTAGCAATAACAATAGCACTTAGACTTATATACCACTTCACAGTGCTTTACAGCTCTCTCTAAGTGGTTTACAGGGTCAGCATATTGTCCCCTACAATCTGGGTTCTCATTTTACCAATCGTGGAAGGACGGAAGGCTGAATCAATCTGGAGCCGGTGAGAATCAAACTGCTGATAAATATACATCAATATGATAAATCTTCAGTCAGTTAAAAATACAATACAATGGAAACTAATAGAAAAAAATACAGATGGTGAGAGTCAGAAAGAGATAACATTAAGGAAGTAAGATAACCATATAGGCAAAAATAGCTGGGTCTGAGAAAGGAAGAGGGAAGTAATAAAATAGATAAATAGTTGTTTTTTTTAAGGAAATGGCTAGCCAGGAAGTATAGGAAAGCAGGAAGCCATGCCAAATAAGATAAGAAGAGAGACACAATGAATAGAAAAGCAGGAAAAGAGCTTATTGTGGAGACATAAATATATTGAGTTTAAAATAACCATAAGAAAATATTTTTTTCTTATTCTTATTGTATATGTGAATATGATTTAGTGTGTTATCAGGAAATGTGTATAGGCAGACGGAAAGAGTGTAACCTCATACTACCTGAGCCAATGGGGAAAGAGGAGGGCTGTAGCGGCCGGTGATAGGGATGAATAAAAGAAGGAGATATTTTGGGTTAAAACTTTGGAGAGAACCAAGCTTTGAAAGCTTCTCTCCCCGCTTATTGCAATAAACGAAACAAAAGGCCTTCACTGTGTCTTGGCTGGTTATTGGTCAGGCGAGCTTGCCTCTGGTCACGAAGGAAAGTAGCCAGGAGCACATAACACTGCCAAACTGCCGGCAGTCAACAGAATTAGCCTGCAGTACTGCATTATAACCTCTGCACCACCACACCTTTTAACACTCATTCACACATACACTTAGATTTAAAGTATACAAATTATGAGAGCTGGTTCAGCAGGAATCCCATTCAGCCTATTCTCAACCTTTTGAATCTTTGAACATTTCCACAATTATTTCTGCAAGCTACGACCTTTTCTGATCCAGTCAAGTTTGATAGCAGTCAATTATGTCTTGATCACATCCTACGTTTGCAAAACCTTTGAAATCTCTAGAAGTTGCAAGTGGCTTTCAATATACCGTTAACGCAGGTGTGTCAAACTCAATTTCATTGAGGGCCACATCAGCATTGCGGTTGCCCTCGGGGGGTGTGTGTGGCCAGGGTGGGTGCGGCCTACTAGGTGGGCATGGATGGAGTGGGTGTGGCCTACTGGGTGGGCGTGGTTTCAGCAGGCAGCAAGGTGCTCTCCTCACAGCGCTGAGAGGTTGAGCCAGGCAGTGCGAAGCTCGCCAACTTTGCACCTTGCTGCCTGCTGAAACTGGGCAGGCTGGGGGCTAGGCAGCATTGCACTTCTCATCAGATTCGCGCCACCGAGCTCAGCTCTTGGCGCTGTGAGGAGAGTGCCCCACTGCCTGCTAAAACTGGGCAGGCTGGGAGCTGGGCAGCCTCGTGTTTCTTTTTGGATTTCTGCTGCCCGGCTCAGCCTCTCGGCACTGTGAGGAGAGCGCCCCGCTGCCTGCCGAAACCCCTCCCCCAGAGCCCATCAAGCCGGATAGGTGAAGTAGGTGAGGGCCATCTGCTGGCCACTTCCAGGTGACAGTGCATTTCTTCATTCCTCACAAAGGGTGACACCTCCCCAGCATGCACCCAGGGGGTGGGGCTGACCCGGCAGGGGCTGGTTCCTCACTGTTTCCAGACAGCCTTGTGGAGCTAAGACTGAATGAGTTTCAGCATAGATGCCCACCACAAATTGTACATTGGCTCCCAGCCGGCCTGGGCCAGGGCCAAGGCAGCGGGGGCTGTTCCCTTACTGTTTCCAGGATGGCTTCACGGGCCACATGAAGCCACTTTGCGGGCCACATCCAGCCCCCGGGCCTTGTGTTTGACATATCTGCACTAACCTATGCAAAGAATCAAGATGACATGGTGTCTGTACTGGTTACTAGTTGTTTAGCAGGTCAAATTTAAGCTGTGATAATATTTTTCCTAAAGCCCATAATGGTTTAGGCCAGAGCCTAATAATCTGAAGGATTTTATCATCAGTAAACTATTCAAATCTGTGGGAAAAGCCTGTCTCACCCTTGTGATATAACTGCTATCAGGGATTTGTATATCTGGCACTTGGGGGGTGATCAGTATGCAATCTATTTGTCAAAGGGACCAGGGCTTTAAAATGAAGTTACCTTATTTGTGGTTTAATTTTATTTTATCCTTCATTTTCATTTGTGTGTGCATCTATGCTGTAAACTAATTAGAGCATTCTCTATGAAGGGGGGCAGCATACCGTTGTTTTTAGATTAAAAATTAAATTTTAATCTAAATGTTTACGTTTGATTTTAAATTATTTGTTACATCATTATATTGTTAGATAAAAAATAAATTTTAAAGTTTTAGATTAGAAGTAGGGAAAGTTGCTCTATTAGCACTTCCCTAGGATTTCCCAGAGGGCTTTCTGTGCTGTTGTTCCTGCCCTCTGGATCATCTTGTTCCCCCCATGTGAGGTTGGCCCGTGCCCTATTTTTTCGAAATCGCCCAAAGACGTGGCTTTGCCACTCAGTTTGGGGCCCCAGTGGGGGAGCAATGCAGTGGAGGTAGTTGATTAATAACAGATCCCACCTCCCTGTTCTCCCCATGTGTCTTTAGTTTTAATGTTTGTTTTTAACTTTTTATATTTTAGCTTAGATGTAACTGTAAGCCGCCCAGAGTTACCTTATGGTAAGATGGGCAGCCAATAAATTTTATAACTAAATAAATTTCCTGAAAAGGCTTTTATTGCCCACCTCATTCAGAGGAATCTACTTAGACCCGGATAGGAAGGAGGATGGGAGGATGCTCCACATATTTGTTTCCGTGTTCTGCTTAGCTGAGAAAAACGGAAGTTTTCCACCAACGTCCCATCCGCTTGGCTACTTCTCAGTCTTATATATATACATAGGGCCCATAGGGCGGAAACTTTACTGTTGGGTGTTGCTTTCTGCCACCCAGACGACGTCCAGACAAAACTTCCTGAGAAGCAACAGCAACGATCGTTTGAGCGGGAGACGCTTCTTTCGGCGCTTTCCCTCAAACTCCGTTCCCCAAGAACCGGCTGCAACTTTGGCTTACAGCCACTCGCGGCAGTAGATTAGCCGCCGCCGCTTCTCGCTCCTGTTTTCTTGGGAGTTTCAGGTGCGAAACCGCGATCGCTGTCATTCGCAGAGCGTCATTGTAAGTATGGCTGAGTCATTTATTTAAAATAACCTAAGGTAGGGCCCGGTTGTAACCAAGATACCGGGCGTGGTCCTGCTCCCTCCACTACTTTTCCCGAATTTCTGTATTTTTCCGGTTAAAGTAATAATACACAGCCTTGTGCATTCAGAAGTGACCGCCCCTCACTTGCTCCTAAAACGAACAGACATTGGGTGATAGCCTAAACAGGGACTCCCCGAACTCTTGAAGCGTGTCCCGCTGTCTTACTTAATGGACTCTAGTCCTTAATAAGCAAGGGCGATTATTAGTATTGCAGCAATCGAATCCTGTGGATTTTTATTAAATAAAAAGAATCACGTGTATTCGGAAACATACCCTCCCCCTCCGGGGTTTTTAAGGGTTTGCTCGTAGCGATTGTGACACAAGACTGCAGCCACGATTAAGGCTGAGAGAAAGCGGAAGAACGAGATATAAAATCCAGTCTGTGGTTTGCGCAACCCGCTGACAGCGGAGCCCGCCCCACTTACCCCTTCAGGAGCTTTTCGCGAAGAAACACCCCTCCCCCTCGGAGTGGGGGGGCGGCCAAGAGCCACTTTCTCTGCAAGCCCAGACACGGCTCCGTCGGAGGCGCTTGGGCCTCAACCACTGCTAGCAAGAACCCGGAGTGGCTAGCAGGGGAAATCTTTATTCGGTTTAACGAAAGTCATAATGTGCTGTAGCGGACTTTCGACGAGACTGGGAAGATTGTCTAATTCAATGCGCCTGGTTTCCGAAACTATTGCTTAATTCTGTCCGTCCCTTGCCTTGTGGCTTAGTGGCAAGCTAAATGCGACGAGCCTCGAGGTGCTGATAGATCAATTGAATTGATCTCTTCCCTTCCCTCCCCTCCCCCCCTAACAACGCCTTTTCATAAACTTGACATCTTCCCTTGTTGAGGGTTCCTTCTCGGAGCACTAGTTCTCTTAGTAGCTTCCGCTGCACAGCTTGCTTAACTTGGTTACTGAATTAGCCTGTCTTCATATTGTGTACACAGTACCTAAACTCATAAAAGAGCTGGGTTGATATTGCCTTTGCTCCAAGTCTGTTTTTTTTAAAACCACCAGAATATTCTGCAGTGTTGCTGTATACCAGTGGTTCTCAACCTTTTTAATTCTGCGACCCCCAACCGGTCGTAAGTCGAGGACTACTCAACTGGTGCAGCACCGTTTGCAGAATGGGACTTTTGGCGGGCTCAGCAGGGCAGAGACAGCCTGGACAATTCCTATTGACTTTTGAAAGCCAATAGAATTAGACTCTATTCAAGAGAGTCTATTCTATTGGCTTTCAAAAGCCAATAGAATAAAAGGGAGTAGCACACCTAAGAAAAAGGGGAAAAAATGGCGGATTGCGTTGTTTGGCGACCCCCCGTGAAATGGTCGTTTGACCCCAAATGGGGTCATGACCCACAGGTTGAAAACCGCTGCTGTATACCAATCTTCCTTCCCTAATGAACATAACAATCCTAGTATTGTTTTGCAACCTGAATTTCATCATGTGTGTGTGTGTGTGTGTGTGTGTGCGTGCTTTTTTTTGTAAAAAAAAAAAGTGCCGCAATTCACACGTCATACAACCCGCCTTGCCTACCCTACAAGTTTTATCTTTGTAGTTGAAAAAAAAACCTTCAGTTTTTAGTGTATTTACAAGACTAGGATTTTGTTCAACGTGAGTTAATACTATTAATGTTACCATGCACTGTGTGGCTTTAAATTACAAGAAGGCATTTTATTAATCTTTTGGGACATTTACCACTGGCATACCCATTTAGTTTAATGAGTGGAAATGTCAGCTTTCTATGTGGAATGAAATTGGCCCAATAAAACAAAATTTGGTTGCTTGTAAAAGACTGAATTATTTTTAAGAAGTTGTCAAACAAGGTGGAAAAATTTATATTTGGAGTTTAATATGGATATTGACTAGAAACAAATTAAAGTTGAAACTTTTGTCAGTGAACAGATTACTTTTAATTTACCTTTAAGTTAAACCTAATTTAATAAATAGATCTAATTAAATCTTATACTGTAGGTCTACCTTTACATCTGACCAATACATAATATATATTATTATTAATAATATCTCCAAGTCATAAGACATAGGCTTTATTCTTATTCTTCCCCTCTGCAGTTTGAATATAAACTATAAAAGACTAAAAAGAGATTTTCGTAGACATCCCAGCCTTTCAACTACCCAAGGAACTGAAACAGCAAAGTTTCACTGTCAGGCAAGCTTCCACGCTAGCCATCTTTCTTTCCTCTCGCTTTCCTCTTTTTAACCTCACCCCCCCCCCCCATATTCTGTAAGGGAAGGCAAAAGGCCCACTCACCCTCTCATGAAAGATGGCCTCCATGTTTATGTGTCTCTCAGTGCCACCATCGGCTTCCATACCACATGGTCCGACCCAGCCAATCAAGCCATGCTCTCTCTGTGATGTCCTGGCACCTCATGGCTCCTCCTAGAGGAGGCAGACAGCACCAGAGGGGATTCCGCTCACACTGTACTGCAAGCAGGGCATTTTCAAAAACAAACGAGGATAGGAAGGGAAACAATAGGAAAAGAACGCAACTCTGGAAAATCCGTCAAAAAAGGTGCCGGAACTCTGTTCCGGTGCATTCTATGACAAAAAAGTCATATATATATATGTGGATGCCGCTTCCGGAAGTCCGTTCTGGGCCTAGGCAACAAAAAATTAGCTACTGGTTCTGCCAAAGTGGTGCGAACTGGCTGAATCCCACCAACACACACACACACACACACACACACACACACACACACACACACACATACAAAAATCATTCATATATATAGCAAAATTGACTATGGTACTATTGACTCTTGTGTCTGCTCCTGGCTTTTAGATTTGTTTTGTTTTGCTTTGGGGGCTAAATGTATGCAACGCACAAAAAAAAATAGGGGAAAACTTTGTTAAATGGACCAACAACCATTTTTCATTTGGATAAAATGAACCAGGAATTTATTTCAGGATTTAGTCAGTGTTAGAACTTTTCATTCATTGACTAAATTGAAAAGACGGAGCAGAGTTTTTCCACAATAAAAGTGGCAGGAAGGAGATGATTTATCTCCAGTGTCAGGCTCTAGAAAGAATTGAAATAAAGTCCTTGTTTTAAATGGTCTCGCTTAAAAGCTACCTTTTATTTTTTTTAGTTTTGTTTCATACATGAGAAAGTATGTGTTAAACAATACATACTTTTTCCCCATTGGTTGTGGATAACACCTGTACTCAATAACTGAGAATGAGTATTATTTGGTCTTCATACCTCCTGAGAGCAGAATGTTTATATTATTCATTAAAGCAGCCTATACTTTTTTAGGTTTCTACACGAGTTGACTCTTTTTTTCTTTCAAATTCATGCAGAAATCTAAAAACATCTGTATGCTGCTTTAGTGAACAGCATACAGGAGCTTTGTTTATATCTTTTTTTTCTTAAGTTCTGAAGCACTTTTTAAAAATCATTTTTAAGTGTTGTTTGTCCAAGTAATTATATTAAAAAAGATAATGCATAGAATAAAGCAGTTGAAATTTATGGAATTGAGATGTCGTGGTAAATCATTTTTAACTTGTATTTATTTCAGATTTTCTTGATTATAATCTTACTGTGGCAACACAACATGTGCTCTGGCCTGATGGAGAACTATGTGGCTGCCATGGTGTTGAGTGCAGCTGGAGATGCCCTAGGCTTTTGTAATGCAAAATGGGAATTCCAACGCAGTGGTGAAAAAATTCACAACGAAGTAGCCAAAATGGGTGGCGTGGACCATCTTAACATAAAAGGTTGGAAGGTCAGTGATGACACCATTATGCACTTGGCTACTGCTGAAGCCTTGGCTGCTGCTGGCAAAAACCCAGAATTATTCCACTTGTATAAACTCCTTGCAACAAACTACAGGGATTGTATGAGTGACATGGCTGGACGAGCTCCAGGTATGTTTTCAAAATGTTTCCATAGGAATGAATAAAATAGTATTTCTCAAATATCATGCTTTACCAGGTGTATTCTGCTTCACTGTTGGAAAAGTTCCATTTTACAGCTTTGTTTATTGGCCTTTTTTATGATTCCTGCTTTAAAGTAGGCCCTAATACTGCTGGTAAACCTACTTTTTGTGACCTCCAGAGCCATTTCTGGCTACAATTGCTGAAAATTATTGGATGCTTTAGTAGCCACAGTCCATACTCAATTTATTTTTTCCCAGTCAGATCTTATTAGAGAGATAACACTATATGGTTCCAGATGGAATAAACACCCCCACTTTCTCAGGGCACCGGGTATGTTGATTGGGAATGATGGGACCTATCTGGAAAATCACAGTGTGTAGAACGTTAGCAGAAATGTAAGAAAGAATGAAATGAACTCAAAACAAAATTGTAAAATTGTAGGCTAAGGCGAGATCTATCCAAATATTTACTTCATTACTCAATTCTTTCTCCTAGTACAGTTAGCAACTTCTCTTCCCTGCATAATAATTCATTTTCTTAATCAGGACACAGCATCCTCTTCAAGCACCTAAAGAAACATACCAACATCTGGTTCAAGTATATTGTGGTATTTTCCTTTCCCATCAAATATATTGCAGACTCTTGAAAGCTTTGACTGGTCCAGAATGCAGTGGTTTGTATAGTGATGGGAGTCGCTGGGTTTTCTCATGCAAAGCCTCTATTGTGAGAATTGCACTGTTTATCAGTTCTCTTCCAGATGCAATTCCAGATGTGGTAATTCAAACTTGGCTTAGGATAACTAATGGGCCATCTTTTCTCAGTGTGATTGGAAAGAGGGTAGTTTCTGTGTTCATTTGACCACCATAGAAACAGATTTTCTTAGCTGTGATTCCTCCTTTTCTGGAACAGCCTTCTTTCCAAGATCAGATAGTTTCTAACTGATTTTTCAGAAAACAACTAAAAGCTGACTATTCTGGAATGCCTTGGGACCAGATTTGTGATGAGGATTACTATATTACTGGTTAAATTCCCATTTATTTAAGGCTACAGTAATATATTTTGCTAGCTGACAAATCATGGTTCATCTGCCATTATTTAATTTCCATAGCCATCTATCTCAACCAAGTGACTCTGGCTGAACAATACAAAATAAATATATACTGTACAGCCGAGAAAATCTTTTAACAATTGCCAGTAAAGCCAAGATATGGCATCCTTAATACATTTAAGGGCCCAGGCACATAGCCAGGTTTTTAAAGCCTCATGAAAGGCTAACAGGGTCAGGATCATTCTAATCTCTGAAGGAAGGATGTTCCAAGGAGCAGGAGCTATGGCTGAGAAGTCATGTCCTCTGGTTCCTGTTAGTTGACATTTCTTGGCTGGCGGAATATACCCCATGCCCAGCCTGCTGGATCAGATTGGAGTGGTAGAAACTATTGGGAAAAGATAGTCCCTTAGGTAACCCAGTCCCAAGCCATGTAGGGTTTTATAGGTGATAGGCTGGACCATGAATTATACCCTGAAACACATTGCTAGCTAATGCAGTTCACACAGTAGTGGTATTATATGTGACACACTATTTATTATGCAGCCACATTCTCTACCAGTTGAAACTTTCAAATGCTCTTCAAGGACAGGTCAATGTAGAGTGCATTGCACAAAGAACATTACCCAAACCCAAGAACCCATAGTTTGGCTTTATGTGTGAACCTAATATCCCAAAGGTGCTTTTTCAAGAAGCAACTGGACTTTCTTATTTTTCTTTGAAAACATTTCATTTCTCATCCAAGAAGCTTCTTAGATGAGAAGCGAAATGTCTTTAAAAAAAAAAAAAGGAAGTCCAGTTGCCTCTTAAAAAAAGCACCTTTAGGACAACCATGATCTGGATGACTGAGAATATCCATAGACATGTGAACCTAATAGTTAACTTTCGAATTTTACTGAGTAGGAAAATTTATTTAAATTTATAAATCTCTTTTTTCCAGACAAATTTTAATCAGCTTATAAAACAGAGTAAATAACCCTCTAAAAAGCAAGGGTTATACCACGAGAAAATAAAGTCAGGAGAAATGAGAAGTGCAAAGAGAATCAAATGAATAAAATGCAATTAATCTGATATGTTTCTATATTATTTAAATGTTTCTCTTCTATTCTGCTCATGTCTCATTAAAATACAAAACCCGGCGACTATTTGTGAAGGGATTCTGGGAACACCTAAAATCTGTTAGCTCCAGGTTGTGCACCACAGCTATGGTACTCAGATAAGGAGTATCTCTGAAAAATATAACTGAGGATGGGTTGTGTGCAAAGTATGCATGCTGTACCATCATTCCCCTGAAAACTTCCAAATTAAGCTGAAATACAGTTTTAAATGACTTTTAGAAAAGTCCATGTCTATGGTTTGGGCTTCTTGCAGCTCCTTGTACAGCAGCTTGCGGGCTTTCTGTTCTTGAGAAATTTATACATCTGTAAACTACCTTGTTTTTACAAGCCTGAAACTCTGCAAATCATAGGGATTTTCCCTTTCTGGAGAAGGCATAGGGAAATTCCTCCTATTGCCCTGATCTTCAGAAAAGTTTGCAAAGTAACCTTGCTTTATAAATTCTTGGTAGCTAGGTAGAAATGTTTCTCCAGGATCAGATTACATTAATGAAGATAATTTGCCTAAAGAAGTATTTTTTCAACTTAAATTGGTTTTTTTTTCTTTTTTAACTATAGAAGACTACATGTCATTAAATTAATTCACATTCTCCTTCTTTACAAAAATACATCTTATATACCTTTCAGCTCTTAAAGGGTTATAGAACTGGCAGTGGTCACATAATATAGAGATAGTGAATCTGATTGTCTGTTTAATGCAAACAACTACATTAAAATGCTTCCAGCTGATGCCTGCCCAGACTTTGTTTAAACTTATTCAGTTATGCGAAGCCTACCATCTCTCTGAGTAAGTAGTTCCACTGTTAAACAGTTCTCTAATTTTTATGCGTTTCTGTAATTTACACCATTCTCTGTTCTGTTCTCTAAGATGATGGGGAACAAGTTTTAGTTTTCTTCTGTGCAAACCACATTGCCCTATGATTTTGAAAGCTAGATGTCCACTGTAGATCATTAAGCTCTAACCATTTAAGTACTACATTCTATTTCCATCATTGCTAACGAAAGCCTGTCAAAAGTCCAATAGCACTCTCCCATGCAGATTTTTAGCAGCTGATATTGGGAGAGTGACTGCCTCTGCTCCCAAAATATACTTTGGACTTCTCTCTAGTTCCTTGCTGTAGAACCTTAAAACATGTTCATTAAAAATACAGAAGAAGTTGTCAAATAATCCTTTCATTATTTTTCAGTAGGGTTAGCTTTCTTACCCTTTCACCATGGAATACATTGTGAGCTATTTAAAAACTATTCTGCTTGATTCATGGAATCATAAGGTTGGAAGAGACCTTTGAATCCCTGGTCAAAGCAGGATCCTCAAGCAATCAGAGATAAACTTCAAACAATGAAGCACCTGTAACTCCAAGATGGCAGGCCATTCCATCATAATAGTTCTCTCCCTCCTTGCAATTAGAAGATGTGTAATAATTCTCTGAATTTTCATTTAAGACATATAAAGAGTATTGCAGATGTTGCACAACTTTGGAAAAAGTTTAGAAAAGTAAATTCTTCTAGGTGAAATATATGCATACTTTGGTATAAATTTAAAGGGTTTCCCATTCACTTACATCTTATATACTCTATATTCTTTATTCAGTGGGACCTAATTCCATATAAATGTACATCTAATTACATACTTAGATGTTTTATTATTTTAATTATCTGCTTCTTCAACCAATATTGTTAAGGCTGTTCAGATTTATGAACAGCATTAAGAATTTTCAGTTTCACAGTGGTAAAACAAGCTTTTATACACGAGTAGATTTGTATTGAAGTGGGATTGCTAGTTTTGACCTCCTTTTTGCCAACAGTTTTGTGATAGTTTAGTAGTATCATTATCACTAACTACTAATTTTGTAAACTAGGCTTCCCTATTCTGTGTTCTTAAAATGTATCAGGAGTGCAAACCGCATCGTCAGGCAACGTTGGCCAGGTTGATTAAGGATGACGGGTCTTATAAGAAAACATGTTCAGAGATATTCAGTGAAGGTTATTTTACATTGTGTAAGAAGACAGGCATAGCAAAAAGTTATTCAGAGAAGATTTTTCTGATAATGGTATTAAGTCATTTGGAGCTATGTTTTTGGAAAAGTTTGGGCTAAATTCTATTTGCAGTGTTTTATTGTTTTTGTTGCCTGCTTATAATGAACATGTTCTGATACAATATTCCATCTTTCATAGGTGATACTTGCATGCATTATGCTATGAATTTGGATCCAGATGACTCAGATAGCTGGATACCTAATTTCTGTAAAAGGGGAGGAGGATGTGGAGCTGCTATGAGGTCGATGTGCATTGGACTAAGATTTTGTCATCCAGAAGACCTGGAAAAATTAATTGCGGTCAGTGTTGAGAGTGGACGAATGACTCATCATCATCCTACTGGTTATCTTGGATCCCTTGCATCTGCTCTTTTTACTTCTTATGCTGTGAATCACAAACCACCACAGGAATGGGGAAGAGGGCTAATGGAGGTGATCCCTAAAGCAAAGGCCTATATCCAGAAGTCTGGCTGCTTTGTAGATAAAAATTTGGAGCATTGGTAAGTATGGGTATTTGGGTTGTTAATAGTTTAAAGGTAAGCATAACTGATATTTTTGTAACTATATAGTGCTGAGCAAGCATTAAATATATTGTACTCAGAGAACCCACATAGATACTTTGGAACAAAAGAATAATCTATGAGTAGTATACATACCTTCCTTATTTGAGCTCTCAACTGGAGAACACAGAGTCCCAGAATGGAGGGGAGAAGGTAACAATAACAGAATTGGAAGGCACCTTGGAAGTTTTCTAACCCCCTGCTCAAGCAGGTAACCCTATCATTTCAGACAAATGGTTGTCCAATCTCTTCTTTAAAACCTCTAGTGTTGGAGCACTCATAGCTTCTGAAGTCAAGTCATTCCACTGATCAATTGTTCTAAAAGGAAGATTTTAGCAGATTTTACTCCACTACGGAGCGGTGCTCATCTCCATTTCAGGGCCATTGAGTCAATGCTGTCTGAAGACATTTCTGTGGCCAGTATGATGTCACAGTCCTGTTACTTCCCACCGGTTACCTATTTATCTACTAGCATTTGCATACTTTCAAACTGCTATGTTGGCAGGAGCTGGCACGAGGATGGGTGCTCACCCAGTCGCATGGTGCTCGGGTCTTGAATCTGGGCTGTCGGCTTTCCAGTCGACAAGCCTAGTGTCTTAACCGCTGAGCTACCATGCCACGTTTTAACTAAGTAAATTTCTCCTTAGTTCTAGATTGCTTCTCTCCTTGATTAGTTTCCAACCATTGCTTCTTCTTCTTTTAGGTGCTTTGGAGAATAGGTTGACCCCCCCCCTTCTTTGTGGCAGCCCCCTAAATATTGGAACACTACTATATCACCCCTATTCCTTCTTTTCATTAAACTAGACATTCCCAATTGCTGTAACTGTTCAAATTATTTGATAATTTATACTTCAAGCCTTCTAATTATATTGGTTCCATTTTTATACTTTGTACATCTAAGGCAACATCTTCTAACTAAAGTTTTATTGTTATGTTGGACTTTAACTTTCCTCCATAATCTTCCAAATATTAAGTAGGGAGTGTGGAGTGGTTAGATTTTTTTAATGAAATTCATTAATTTACATAAATCTAGCATATCAATAGAAACTTTGCATTTCTATTTCACAGGAACTACTTTGAAGGCCAGTGGAAGAGATACCTGGAAATCAGAGGCATCTCAGATGGAAACTCTCCTCCTTCCTTCCCTAAAATATTTGGTGTGAAAGAGAGAGATGAATTCTACACTTCCTTGAGTTTCTCAGGGTGGGGAGGTAGTAGTGGCCATGATGCGCCCATGATTGCCTATGATGCTCTCCTGGGTTCTGAGAATTGGACTGAGTTGGCTCTGCGGGGTTTCTTTCATGGTGGGGACAGTGACTCCACTGGGGCGATTGCTGCATGCTGGTGGGGAGCAATGTATGGCTTCAAAGGGGTTAGTGAAAAAAACTATAAACACATTGAATACAGAGACCGACTGGAAAAAGTAGCTGAGGAACTCTATCATCTCAGTTTGACTACCTAAAAGTCCTACTGCTAGAGATGAAGTAACTGTTAAAATCCAGCAAAATAAAATATTTACCTATAAACTGTAACTATGAATAGTGCATACATATAGCGATTTAAATTATGCAGTAAATACTACTGAAAAATCTACCACCATCTGTCCCTAAAATGTTAAAAAAATTAAGAATTTATTTGAGTGTAATATAAAATTTAGCTGGAAGGGGGAGAGGAGAAGATACATTTCATTTTATGTGTAAAACTAGTTGGGATCTCTAATCTTCTGTGTTTTGTATTTAGAAATGTAGCAGAAGGATCTGAAACAAGGGAAACTTTTTGATACGTGCATTAGGCTTTCTAGGGAGTGTGTAGGCAGAAACAGCCATTAGTCCTCTAGCTGCAACTGGGCTGTTCTCATCCATTATTTCAAATTGCTGTCATTAATATAAGCAATTCAAGTCCTGCCTTAGCCATGAAAGCCAGCTGGGTGACTAGTCTCAGCCCAACTCACCTCACAGGGTTGTTGTTGGGAAAATAGAGGAGGAAGGTGTGCTGAATTTAGTGGCTGCCTTGAGTTATTTGTATACAATGTATATAAAAATAATAAAGGTGGGATATACATACAAACATACCTACCTACATTCTACGTGTATTTTTGACTAATATCTTTGCAGGCAGTGAGCTATACTTTGGCCTTAGGAATTACAATATAAAGTTTTGCTTAGCATCTTGCAAACTTTGCTCATTCAATCCAATAGTTTCGAAATAGGCCCAGTTGGATTGGGCCTATTAGATCACTAATATTTTTATTTGTATCCTGCCTTTATTATTTTTAGAAATAACTTAAGGTGGTGAACATATCTAATATTCCCTCCTCCTCTTTTCCTCAAACCCTGTGACGTGAGTTGGTCTGAGAAAGAATGACTGGCCTAAGGTCACCCAGCATGGTCAAAGTGGGATTTGTACTCATGGTCTCATGGCTTCTAGCCTGGTGTCTTAATTACTAGAACAAACTGGCTCTGAGACTGAAAAAGTCTATGCGCTGAAAGATAATCTCTTAAGGAATAAAAAATGATAAACAATTGCTAAGCATGGAGATATTTTGTATAACTCCAGTAATATACTGCAATATTAGCTTAGTTCCCCATTCCTTCCTCAGCACTGTTGAGTTTTTATAGAAGAGCAGGTCTCTCTTTGCCATTATAGCTAAGCCCCAGCGAAGTTATATATTCATAGTCTTAGCTTTCAGAATGAAAGGAGAACAGACCAGTGAAATCCGTTCTTCTGCACAGTTGAGTCATTGTAGGCATTTGTTCAATGCTTATGATGTGTGCCCATGGCAGTGACGCCAAGCCATGGTAAGAGCAAGAATGTTGTGGCTTGCTACAGTTGAACACCCAACTTGACATAAGCAGCACATTGATAGCTGAATTGTATTAATAAAAAAGCTTTGTTAACAGTTCAAAACCATTAACACAGGACATTAAATCACAATTTTAACACAGTTTACTACAGCTTGCATGTGTGTTGTATAAAACATTTAGTGCAACATGGTACAAAGTTCTCTTTAATAATAATAATAATAAAAAAACACATTTTCTCATATCATGCAAAGGTAGCTTGTTCCTTTTTCTCTGGGTAGAGAAAGGTGGTCCAAAAAGCTTTGTGAAAGCTTTTTGCAGGCGGTGTCCATGTTTTAAAAAGAAAGCCCATTCTAACTAGTAATCAGTTTGGCAGCACAATGGACAAGTCATTTGCAAGTGATCCTTGGTGCTGCTTGTGGGACAATTCTTCCACTATTTAGAGGCTTTATGACATCCATATACTTTCCCAAGAGTCCACAGTCCACAGATGGGAGAGCTAGCCACTGGATGTCGCTGTGGGATAACTTTCCATAAGCAGGCGTGCAGAGGAGGATTGCTGGCAGGGAAGCATTGATACTACTAGGTCAGTTTAAAACATTTCCAATGCAAAGATAAGGAGCAATGTTGTTTAGGGCAGGGACTGTCCCACTACCTCCTTTCCTTTGTAAGACCTTAACTCAATTACAACTCCTGCCCTCCAGCAGAATATGTACAAGACGTTTTAAATTAACCGTACAGAGAAGCTAGAAATTTTTGTGTGTGTTGTGTAGGTGTCTCATTTTCTTAAATCCCCTCTCTTCTGAATAGACAACAGTATAGGCAGGCAGACTAAAACTATGTTTTTTTTCAAATTGCACATTATATAAGATTAAGGTTTTGCAGAGGCAGATTTGGTTCTGGGAACTTTCCGGGTGCTTTATTAGAATGTTACAAGGATGGGAGACTCTTCAAAATCTCAGAGCTTAGATCAATAATGTTGAGCACCTGCCTCAACTTCAGGTCCTTTAGATGTGTTTTATTACAAATCTGTTATTTCTAACCAGCATAACCAAAGGCCCTGCTGGCTGGGAATTATGCAAAGTGTAGTCTCCACCCATCTCAGAGACACCAGATTGAGAAAGACTGCTCTAATATTAGCTCTAATATTAGTATAGCAGGCACGTCTTTCTCTTGACATAAGGAAAACCTTTGCGCTGGTGTTAAAGCCCCATTCATCAAGTTTGTTATTCCCACAAATTGCTTTAATAAGGACGAATTAGCAAAACTATTAGTTTTCACTCTTCAGGAAGGAAAAACCTGCTGTATTGCTATCTTCTTACCACTGATCACCACCTTCAGGTCAAGGCAGCAGAACATGCTGGCATATATCGCTGACACTATGAATCACACAGATTCACTTGTTTTATGAAAATTAGCAACCAGCTGTGCCAGGAAGACTTTTAGGAAGACAGTAAACACACTTTTTTTGTAAAGTTTTAAAATTTCCCTGTCTCTGCAGCTAGAATCAGGGCACAAGAGATCTGTTCCATCACGTATAATAAACATTTTCCTGGACAGCACATGGAACGAGCTCTTGACTTGAAGTAGGAATTCCACCTGAACTGAACCAAGGTCTCTTAATGCTGTGCCTTTCATAGAAAGAACAACAGTTCTTAGCCCAGCATACTTTCACTTATTGTGGCTTATGCAAGGCTGGTGGAATGAAGATGAAGGATAGTAAAAATAAAGCTGAAATAACAAAGCAGCATATACATATATGGGAGGGAAGGAACAACATTCATACCCCTTCTTGCCTGATGTAAACTTCTTTGTGTAGACAGTGCATTTGTTTCTTACAACATTTGTAAGAAACAAAAGTTGGTCACTATGTCAGCCCTTTCTCTGCTCTGTTTCAACATTCCAGAGTTATTATAGTGCCAGGCCACACAAGGAGGCAGTTACTCCTGCACTGCTTCCTAAACTTTGGTCAAGATTAGGATCTATTTTTTTCTGCTGCAGACGCTAAATGTGATAGTGGAGGATATTTAAACCAGAGCTTTTTTGGTCATTAGAATTAGACAGGCAATTGTACTTGGGGAAGTCAAAGTTTTCCTTTGATGGACTGTAATTTCTTTTTGAAGCTAAAAACAAAGCTACTCTCCCTCCCCCATATGCATTTTCAGTCCTCAATAATAAGAAACATCCAGACCAATATGGCAGAAACAATGCCACTTAATATGTAGTATGGAGTGATCCTAGGTTCATTTCTCAAAAGCAATATGCAGTTTTTCTGGTCCACTCCAAGGACATTAGCTGCTGAAACAAGCCCATTTGATAAAACAAGCTTACTCAAAATAAAGTGCCCCACTTTGGCACAACCAGGGCCCAACTTAATCAATACATTCTGGAGTCTGTCCTCTGCATAATACAAGAATACATATTTGAGCAACAGAATTACAGCCCAGAAGACAAATGATGACACTGGATGAAAAGGAAACAGTATGAAAATTCATTATATACAGTGAACAAATGGACATTCCATCCCCCTTAGCAATTGGCTGGTTCTTCATAGGCATTCTGGAGTGTTCAGGTTCTTCTAGCCCCAAAGATGATAGAATAGTGTAGCAGAGGTAAGCTGGTATCCAAAAGTTCAGATGGTGAATAAAAATTCAACAAAATAGACCTCCTTTGGGTTTCAGATGCAGCCTTACCTCTCTTAGGACTCTGCCATTTAATCTATAGTTCCTGGATGAATGCTGAGAACAGGAGGCTCCAGACAAGTGGGGGAATAGTTTAGGTGTGGCTCTTTGATCCATAACAAGGGGACCCCGTTCTTTCCTTCGGAATTCTTGCTGGAATTTCGGCTTTTGAATCGCACCAGCAGAATGGTGATGATGAGAATGCCAAAAATGGGAAAGGGATAAAAAAATACGAAGTAGAACAGAGAGTCATTGGTGCAGATAACAGATTGCAGAGAGGAACCTAAAAAAGAGTGACAAAGGATAGTAATAAACTTTCAGATCAATACATTTCTTTTTTTCTGTATATATCAAACATTTGTGTCTATGAGTCTGTGTGTGTATGTGTGTGCCTGCATCTTGTTTGTTAAGTCAATCTTGATTTCTGGTACCTACATGGGCAAACTCCAGTTCAATTCTAATATCCACACAATTTTCTTGGCAACATCTTCAAACGAAAGCTATTATTGTCTTCCTAGCATGAGAGACAACAACTGGCCCAAAATCATCCAACTGGCTTCTGTGCCAAACACAGGATTAGAACGAATCTTCCTGCACCTAATCCAGAGCCTTCACTAGACCAAACCACCTCTTGTAAACAATTATTAAAAAGCAATATACCAAGTGAGGCTAAAATCAGTCCTGTGTAAGTAGAACTTTTTAACCAAAAGGTTTTGTTTACTATAATTTTCAAATTTGGCTACTGTGTTCCCCAATCACTAAAAATTAGTATAAATGGCCATATGTACAGATCATAGATTGGCAATCAAAGGGAAAATAATTTTTAGATCTTTGTTTCCTTTTGCTCTCATAGCTATAAGCTTTCAAAAGAAGAGTACTGTCTTTGAGAAAGTACCATACCTGTAATTTTAAGAAAATAAAATATGAGACTGTGGAGAATAAAGATAGTACAGTGAACTAAGACCTGAGAGATCCAGATTCTGTTACAATTAGATCTCTTAAGTTTTGGATTTCTTCAGAAATTCCTCTTGGCCTCAGAAAAAGTTCCTTCTGTTTCAAATCCAATAATAGCAAATGTGAATGAAAAGAATCCAACCTTGTACCTATCTTATCTAATCTGATCTGTGTATTTTTAATGTCTTCTTTGGTTTGTTTTAACTTTGTTATTAATAATTCAAACTTTTTATCAGATTTTTTATTCATCTCTTGCTAGATGTCATATAACATAGAAAACTTTTTCTCAAATACTTCCATAAGAAGCTTGGCACTGGGTTCATCTGACATCTTTACTTCTCTCTTAGGAGGCATTTTATAAATGTACACAATTCTTCTCTTACAGCCAGTTGCTGGCAGCAGAGAAGCAAACAAGAATACACAGTTCTTTTTTTAAGGTCACGGGAAAAATTCCAAGTGCAAAGCAGCTGGCAAGGAGAATAATGTTGATATGCAAATTCCTGAAGTGCAGAGAAAAACAAATTCTAAACTTTTAGCATAGAAAGCTGAGAGTTGTATACAAAATGCAATAAAAATACAATGAAGGTAAAAAAAAAAATCTTCAAAGTGATACTATGTAGTCTTTTTGGTAAAAGTTCTATATGATTAGATCATTCAATTATTCTCTCAGTAGCCTAAGAAGACTTGTTGCCATTTGCTTTTTCCATAAGGAGAGATAAGCTATTTCCACTCATACCCCCGGTGCTATTAAATCAATTAACAGTCCACGAGGAGGGAGTATTAAAAGTCCAGCACACAGCCAGCAACCAACATGCAGAAAGAAAAGAAAAAAGAAAATGCTTTGCAAAAAAGCGGGGTTAAAAGCAGAGGCATTCTTTGAGAACAAAGACTGAGCGGACTGGATGTGAGCTTTGGTTGAGCTTACCAGGGAGATGAAACCCTCCAAATCTCACCTCCCCAAGCCAGGCATGGACCATCCAAGGAGTTTCATGTGGATTCCATGTCACTCCTCTTCTAATTCAGGAGTTAATAAGCTATAGAGACGAGCTCCTAACTACCACACCAGCCATTTGTCTAGCAGAGCAAAAAAAAAAACCCCACTGCTAGTTCAGAACACCATTTTCCGGGTGGAGTCCTGAGAGACCGAGATTCAACTCCACCCCTATTATAATAAAAACTCACTAGCTGATTTTAAATCAGTCATTTTCTTACACAGTTGGTTTAAGGAAGAGAGATCTCCATGGAAGCTGCCCTGAATTCCTTAGTAAGGCAGTTAATATGTATGTGCAATTATTTTTTCATATCAAAAAAATTAAGTTGGTGGCAAAACAAAAGTTTGGTCTTATTTAATGCTTTTGGCATCTGCATCTTAGGTTGCATAGCTCTGCATTATAACGGGGAAGATTCTAAGTTAGGGAATCCTAATTTGCATGACATTTGATGCAGAAAAGTAGCTATTCAGGTAATATGCAACAGGTATAAGATTGCTAGAAACATGTCATGACAGA